GAATCTGCTCTGTGGCTCTCAGCTGCCTTCCCCGCCGTCCACCCCCCGAATAACCCTGTCAGGCCTGAAAGGCATAAAGGGCTATTTTTAAGCTGTTCAGCTCCTCTGTGGGGACTGTAGGGTTTGGAACATTGTTTGCATTTCTGCTGGCAGAGTGAGCCAGTGATCTGTGCCTGATTTATTTTCCACAGGTTTTGCTGGTTGGTGCTGACGACTTCACGCTTATTGGAAGGCCTCTCCTGGGGTAAGATGTCTCCTATGAGAATTACCTTTGAGACAATTTTTGTACTTAATTGTAGCTTCAGGGCTCCTACAGTCCGTGAAACTGAAGAGAAACTTGGATTTATCAGCACTAGCTTTTTTTCCAGCCCTGTGTCTTTCAAAAGAGTCACCAATAAAACAAGCTGAGCAACCTCTGCTGCCTCCAACCATTGCCACAGTGCCAGGACAGAGCAGCAGTACCCACTGCTGAGGTAACTGTTGGATGTTCACCTCTGTTGGGTTGGATCTTTTTCTCATGGCATAAGCCTTGCACAAACCAGCAGTAAATCTTCCTCTTCAACATCTTTATGCTCTCACCCTAATTTTGGTGGTCGTCATCTTGGAATAACCCAGACATCCTTTCCCATCCCTTCATCTCTTAATTTGACTTAGTTCTTTTAACCCAGTTCTTATTGCCCTTGTCTTAACCCAACAGGCCTCAATCTTAAAGTTCCTCACTGTCCCTTCCTCCTAGTCACAAGCTCCAGCAATCCCAGGACTGGGGTTTAGCCCATTGGCACCATCTCCACCCCAGTGCTGCAGGGCTTGCTGCCCAGGCTGGCACACAGCTGCTCCTCCAGCCTCTTCTTCACCAGGAGGAAGTGGTGCATGGACCAGGCATTATCCCTCAGCTCTGAGCACGAGCCAGAAGCAAAGTCATCAGCTGTTGTTTTCCCCAGGGCAAGAGATTTTAGGGATAAAATGTAAGTGGAGATAAGGTGGGTTGTAGGTGCTCGGAGTACCTGGCAGCCCTGGCTGGGCTCTGGTCACAGGCTAAACCACGTTTAGCTCTTGGCTTGAACTGCAGCAGCTGGCAGAGGATGGTCAGATAAGGAGGAACCTGTATTCTCAGAGTAATTTCTTGGTGCCTTGTAGATCCAGGTTAGAAATACCACCTAGTTTCAGACTGGTTTCAGTTCTGAGTGCTTTCTGTGGTGCCAGGGGGGTGCTGGTATTTTTTTGAGGTGTTTGTTAATATCATGCCTTGGGTTGTGCTGGTGGTAACTGCCTTGGCTCCCTGTGTTGGACAGGACTTTGAGGGCTGCCAGTGCTTTTAACAGTCCTGCAGAGATCCGGAACAGCAGATCACCAGGAGTCATTGAATTATTGCCAGATGTTGGCAATAATTCAATGTGAAATCTTGCAGAAGATTGTAGGAAGAGGAATCTTGTTATTAGGACTAGAAATGTCATCTTGCAGGAGCTGAAATGAGAGCCCCAGTTCTGTGGACAGGGCCGTGCCATGCTGGGTGCTTGAAGAGCACCACCCTTCACCTGCTCTCTTAGCTGGTGTCCCTGGGGTGGATCTCTGCAGCTCGGGGAGTGTGCTGGATGTGGGCTGTGGCCCGAGACCCAGGAGCTCTGGGCAGAGGGAGAGCAGCTGTTTGGCCCCTGCAGGTGCCGCACGTGTGTGGGGAGTGTTCTCAGCTGCCTGAAGCAGAGCAGACCACAGATCTGCCAGAGTGAGCTCAAACCCCAGTGACCTGGGCAGGGCGAGGAGGTTGACCAGGCAGAATGGAAGGCTGGTGGGAAGGTGCCAGTGTCCCTCTGAGCCCCAGGGAAAGCTCCTGAGTCCCCAGCCCCCCAGCAGGAGGAGGAGAGGAGAGAGCAGAGCCTGGCGTGTCACCGCGAGCAGTGTGGACTGCGGTTCCTTACAGAGTTCCCAGCTGTGCATAAGCCACAGCTATTTTGGAAGGGAGATGGGGGGTTAGATGGGAACAGAGGCAGTTTGATCTGTGTTGTCTCAGAAACAGGCCCGTGGGTGACTGGCCCCAGTGTCTGTGAGGCAGCTCCTCAGGGCTGCACGGGCCGGGGGCGGGCAGGAGCTGGCCCTGGGTTGGACAGATGGGCCTGTTTTAATGGTCTGCAGCAGTCAGATACCTCCCAAGATGACACTCCTCCAAAGCCTTTAAAAAACAACAGTGCAACAAAACATATCTGCGTGGCAGAGGCTATTCTGGGAACTTGTGGCTGGCTTCTGCTCTGGAATCTGAGCAATGTGCTGTCCCCTCGGCTGGCACAGGGGCTCCGGGCAGCGTGTGCTTCCACTCGGTGTAGCTGTGCAGTGCAGACACTGCTGTGGGCTGGTGAAGCTGTGACCAGGGGTGAGTGTAGCCTTGGGCAGGTTGGTGTTTCACCATCCTGTGAGTGCCCTCAGCTGCTGTAGGCCCGAGTGCTGAGGGTGGTGCCTCTGTGAGGGAGCTGGGATTATTTCTAGACAAAGCACAGCCGATGGGAATTCTGTCCTCTCGCTGAACCTTGCTCTTTATCCTCCTCCTTGCCCATTTTTGCAGTGGCTTCAGTGGCTCCAAGGGACCCTGGACCTGTTCTTCTCCCAGACAGCCAGGCTGGGATTTGGTTCCCTTCAGCAGGGAGTGAGTGAGCTTGTCAGTTGGAATTATCACCTCTGAGAGTCAGGCTCCTGGGGCGTTGCAGCTTGCCTGGTTCTTTTTCACTCCTTAATGACAATGGCCTTCAGCCCAGCTTAGATCTGTGAGATTTTGGTGTGAATTCTTCTTGCCTCCTGCAAAACCTGATGGATGTGCTTTGTCAGGAAGCGTTTTGCTGCTGGAAGCAGCAGGGCCTGACTGTCTGGGCCAGGCTCTGGGAAATGTGTGACCCCCTTTTTATTTCTGTGGGCATTCCAGTCATACCTAAAACAGTCGATAAAGATTTTTTTTTTCCTTGGGCTCTGTTTTGCTGAGAACTTTTCTGTTCATATGCACTTCACCAGCAAGTTGGTTTCTGCCTTTCAGCCAGCAGGTCCTCATGCTTTGTCACACAGAGGACTCACCAGGGCCTGTCAGCCTTGAACGTTGACTTGATGAGTTAAACCACACTTGGATACTCTACTGTCTTAACAATACCTTTAAAGACTTGCTTGAAAGCATGTCAACATCTGAGTGATGTGGGGGGGACACTTGTCTGCTGGTCTGTGCCAGTGTTTCTGCCTTAGGCTGGGGCAGCTGCTGCAGCCCAGTGGTGCAAGCTGTGTGTGGCTGTGCTGCTCAAACCCTGCCCCTCCTGAGAGCAGCACAGAGATCTCACTGACCCCGGCGCTTTATCTGGCCTGGCTGCTTTCCAGTTTTCCCATGTGGCCATCACTAGAGAGTTTCTTACATGCCTTTACAGTCCCAGCCTCTGAGAAGTCAGTGGGAGTTTGCTTTGCCTGAGCCTTCAGTGGGCAGGACCTCGATGCAGACAGCAGAGCTCCCTGATGGCATTGGTGGCACAGGGCCTGCCAGGGAGCTCAGCCCTGCCCTGGCCTCCCCCTCACCCTGCAGAGCTCAGGGCTTGAGGAGTGCCCAGGGCTTGAGGAGTGCCCAGGGCTTGAGGAGTGCCCAGGGCTTGAGGAGTGCCCAGGGCTTCAGGAGAGCTCAGGGCTTGAGGAGGGCCCAGGGCTTCAGGAGTGCTCCCAGGCCCTGTCGCTGTGCTCAGCCTGCAGCTGGAGTCTCAGGGTCACCCAGTGCTGCCTTGAAATCCAGATTGTCTAAGGTCTGTTTTCTTCTGGGCTGGTTGCTGAATGCAGATAGATCAGTTTTCTCCCCTGGCTGCCCTCCCCTCCTGCCCCAGGGATTCCATCTCAGGCACACACTGCACCCCAGCAGCCACTCTGGGAGCAGTGGTGAATGTCTGGGAGCCTTTGGCCTCCTGGTGACCCTGCTGGAGCAGTTGGGCCTGATGGGCGTCCCCCCTCTGCCCCCTTCAGTGCAGACAGAGTCGTTTGTCAGGAAAATGTTCTTTAAATGTCTTCTGGCGCTGAAGGGAGCATGCTAATGAACTTTTAATAGTGTTCTGCACTGATGCTGCAGGGAAGAGTCTCTCCTCCTCCAGTGTGGCTGCTGATGGAAACCACACTTCCCAAAGCATTAGGCTGGCCCTTGTCTGGAGGCTGTGTGGACAGGGGGTGGACAGGTGCCTGGTCTTCCAGCACGTACCTCAGGCCACTCTGTGTCCCAGCTCTGGTGTTTTGCAGACAGATGGAACTCCCAGTGCTCTTCTTGTAACGTCAGCAGGACTTCCCCTGGAGCTCTGCAGGGTCCCCGGGTGGGCAGGAGGTGTGTTCACAGTCACTGAGGTAGTGTGGAGGGGCCTGTGGAGGAAGCACAGGCTGTAGTCTCTCCTCATCTCCATCCTCAGGGAGAGAGGATGTTTACTTGCTGAGAACTTCATGTGTAGAATGAGATCTAGAAATAATTTATTTGAGTGGTCTCACAGCTCAGCTTGAACTCGCCCAGCTGCAGGGTAGGGAGCAGTATGTGAAGTCCTCAGTGAGTCCTCATCTTCTCTTCCAGTTTGGGGTAAACAAGCAGGACAGACCAGGAGTGGGAGGCAGAAGAGGCGTGTGGGAGGAGAAGTGACTTGCTCCAGCAGCCAGTTAGCTGTGCTTCATGCTAGAACAGTGGGACATGTCCTTTTCACTGAGCCTTTGCCAGGGCTTAGTCAGGTGAGCAAGGTGAGAAGACTTTACTCCAGCCATCTGTGATGCTTTCTAGAAGGAGAAAGGACTTGTGCTGACCAGCATAGCACAGGAGAAGGGACCATGTGTGGGTTTCACCTGTCCCCTGAGCAAAGCAGGACACATAAGATCATGTGAACATGCCAGGGGAATTTATCTTACTGCAATCTTACAGGTTCCTGCAGGTTCCTCCTACTCCTGCCTGTGCAGCAGTTCTGATCTCAGCCCTCAGTGGCAGAGAGGTGCTGCCCTGCTCACCACCACGCCACGTGGCTGGTCACCTGCAGCACCTCAAGGCTTTGGGGTCTGCACTGGGAAGCCAAGAGCCTGACATCTCCCTCCTTCTGTGGGGCTGGGCTCTGCAAGGCAGGACGTGCTGTCTGAGCCTCGCTTTTCCCCAGAATCCTGCTCACAGTAGGAACAGAGTGTAAATAATGGAAAAGTGATACTTTTAAAATGTATCTTGAAGGAAAGATCTCGTCCGTGTGGAGGCTACAGTGATTGAGAAGACAGAGTCATGGCCCAAGATCAACATGCGCTTCTGGAGGAGGCACAACTACCAAAGGAAGAAAAGTAAGAGAAAGGGACACAGAGTTTCCTTCCCTGGGGCCCCAGAGCTGGCTCTGGGAGGGGCAGATGTTGGGGCACAAGGGCAGTGCCTGGGGGGGGACACTCACAGAGCAGATGCCAGGAGCCCTCGTGGCACAGCCCCTCTTGCCAGCCCCCTGCCCAGGTGTGCCTGCTGTGCTCAGAGCACAGTGCCCTGGTACTGCCTCAGCCCAGCAGCCTCGCAGGAGAGCCCTGCAGAACACCTTGCTGAAAACAGACCCTGGGTGGAAAAGCAATTTTGTTCTCTGTCCAAAGCCTTGAATATTAGATGTGTAATCCCAGATATTAGCAAGTCTTGGCAAGATCCTGCAGCAGGAGATTTCACAGAATCATGGGGTTGTTTTGGTTGGAGGATATCTTTCAGCTCATCAAGTTCAACCCTTCCCCAGCAGTGCCAGGTCCCCACTGCCCCGTGTCCCTCACCCCCCATCTCCACAGCTTGGGAACCCCTCCAGGGGTGGGGACTCCACCACTGCCCTGG